GTTTAGTTTCCACAACTTCCACCCTCATGCCTAAGCCTTGAATATCAGCTTTCATCTCAACAGTAATCTGTGCCACTGTTCTGACAAGGCCTTGCTCCAAAAACTCAGAAAATTTAATTAACAGTGCTTGGTGACCCACATCAATTGTGGAGAGATGTTCGGGGACAATGCAGCCCTGTCTGGGCTGGGGGGCTATGATACAAGGTGGAAGTCCAGGAAGCCTCCAAATGTGTGGGCCAGGAGGGACTCCATGGAGGCTGATAATGCCCCTGAAGGTGCAGTGGCAGTGAGTGGGAGGAAAGGAGCCCTCACAGCTGTCCAGAAACATGTCCCCTTCACCTGCATCCTCCTGGCTGGGTCTGCCATGTCTCTCACCTGATGGTACAGTGGCCATCTTGAAATCTGACTGAGAGGAACGTGTAGTTAGCGGTAGCAAGGACCCATTCCACCAGCCATGCAGAGAGTGGGAGAGCACTGGAGGCTGATGAACCCATCGGAGCTGGAGTGACCCACTGGAAATGCTGGAATGGGCCAGAGTAGGCAGCCACAGTGCGGAGCTACCCAGCTAAGCGACTTGAGCATGCTCCCTTTGTGCTTCTATTTACTACTGAATTTTTTTGGTGAATAAGTCCTATGGGGTTATTTATGTTAAAGGGTGCTTCCAGATTCTGATAAGTCACCCTCCCCGCACCCCCATGATCACCGGGCCAGGGTTGTGGGAAAGAGGCCTTTGTCTTTTTCAACATGGGTAGTACCTCCGTGGTAAGGGCATGTGGCCTGGTATGGTTCGGGAGTCCTTAATCCCCCTTGTCCCCACCTCTTACATCCATAAAGTCCTTTTTAAAGGCCTCACCTGAGTCTGTTGTCACATTATCCGCTACAGTGACTTATTTTTTATAGTTCAATATTTTTTTATTAAAGGGTTTTGGCATAACAGAGTAATTCAATACGGTTCATAGTAGGCTTGACAATACATATTATTTTGCTGTAGAATCCCCACCAATTGACTGGGGATTGTAAACAGTTATGATGCATAGTCATGAGAGGTATGTTATACTAAATCTGAACCGTGTTATGGTGAGCAGGTTACAATGTGGGGGGGGGTGGGGGGGTGAGGGAAAGGAGTGTAAGTAGTGATGGGGAGGAAGAAGGGGGAGGGGAAGGAAAAAGCGCACCAGTCTAGGGATAGGGGTCTAAATGTTAAACAAAAGAATGATGTATCAGGAGTTTACAGAGCAGTTTGGGTTTTGTAACCAACGGGATCATTGAAATTTGAATGAATGATATGTGGAGTTTTTCAGGGCTGATCTTCTTTCCATGTCACATTGGAAATTGAGGTCTGTCAGTAATGAATTGATAGAGGGAGTTTTAGTGGTGTTCCATAGTTTGGTAATATTAATTTTGGCAGCTGCCAAGTTGTGGATAATGACGGTACGGGAGTCTTTTGGAAAATCATCTATTCCAATGTGGAGAAGGGCCAAGGCAGGGTTTGGAGTTACTGAAGTTCCCGTAATTGTTGAGATCAATTGAAAGATCTTATTCCAATAGGATCTGAGTGATTTACACATCCATAATATGTGGAATGTGGATACTGGTTCACCACAAAGTCTCCAACAAGTGTGGAAATGCTGTGGATAGTATATTGAGAGTTTGGTGGGTGTTAAGTACCATTGGTGTAAGATTTTCATATAAGATTCCCAGTGTGAACTACATTTGGACGCTTTCTATGTAATTTTAAAGGTTTCTTCCCAATTTTGTGGTGTTATTGGGTGCAATAAAATTTTCTCCCAATTGGTTAGGGATGTAGTGTGTAGGGTAAATTGTATATTTGTTGTGTGCGCGTTAAAAATTGAGATGCCTTTTTTTGGGTATTTTTGGTTTATTGAAAAAATTGTATGCGTAGTGGGGATTTTTGAAAGTTTCGGGATTTTTACTGCTCGTAGAGGATGGGTTATTCTCAAGTATGTGAAGTATTCAGTGTTGGGAAGGTTAAATTTCTTTTGTAGAGTAGAAAAAGTATTTAGTTTATGGTCTATGTATAGGTCTTGTATACAAGTTATGCCACAATTATCCCATTGTTGGAGGTTTAGAGAGGATGTAGGGAGGAGTAACGTATTGAGTGGGGAATGTACTAGTTTGGTTTCTAAAGAGTTAGATGATTGGATATCATACCATGCTTGAAGGGAGGCCTTGATACATGGGTGTTTAAGTAGTGGTTTGAGTGGAGGTATTTGTGGGAGGAGGAGTAGGTTACGTGGTGTGAGAGGAAAGAGAAAAAGTGATTCCATGTAGGACCACAATTTTTCTTTAGTTGGATTCCACCAGAAATAAAGTTGGTCGATAATAGAGGCAATATAATACGACTTTAAATGTGGTAGACCTGCTCCTCCCCTGCATGTAGGGCATATTAATAGATTTGTGGTGCATCTAGGTTTCTTAGAGCTCCATAGAAATTTGGAAAAGGTTGCTTGTAATTTAGTGAAGAAAGTATTGGGAATGGGGATGGGGAGTGTACGTAATATGTAGAGGATTTTGGGTAGTATATACATTTTTAAGGTTGCTAATCGTCCCATTTTGGATAGTGATTATCACAATGGGATGAGTAGTATCCATATCAGACTGGATGTCGCTCCATTTCCTCAAGTTAAACCTGTCCAAAACTGAGCTCCTGGTCTTCCCCCCAGCCCGCGCCCAACCCCCCATCCTCTCCATCACGACTAACAACGCCACCATCAATCCCACCACACACGCCAAAGTCCTGGGTGTCACCCTGGACTCAAACCTTTCCTTCCAACCTCATGTCCAATCACTATCAAAGTCATGCAGGCTCCACCTCCACAACATCTCCAAGATACGTACATTCCTCACCCCAGACACTACTAAACAACTCGTACACTCCCTCATCATCTCACGCCTGGACAACTGTAACTCCCTTCTCACTGGCCTACCCAAACAAACGCTATCCCCACTCCAGTCTATCCTGAACTCAGCGGCTAGACTCATCCACCTCACCAACCGCTCCACATCTGCCACCCCCCTCTGCCAATCCCTTCACTGGCTCCCGATTGCCCAGCGCATCAAATTCAAATTACTAACTCTGACCTACAAAGCCATTCACAACACCGCCCCAAACTACCTAACTGAGCTGATACCCAAATACCACCCTACCCGTGCCCTTCGTTCCTCACAGGACCTCCTACTCTCTAGCTCCCTGGTCTCTTCCTCCTCCTCCCTGGTCTTGACTGCAGGACTTCTCCAGGACTTCCCCCATCCTCTGGAACTCCCTACCCCAATCCATCAGACTATCACCTATCCTCTTCACCTTCAGGCTCACCCTGAAAACCCATCTCTTCAGGGAAGCCTACCCCACCCTCACCTAACAACCGATCTCCTCCACTCCTCCCCACCACTTCATCCCCCACAGCCACTTCCTCCTGTACCACTATCCCCTCCCTCCTAGATTGTAAGCTCAAAAGAGCAGGGCCCTCGAACCCCCGTGTATTGTATTGTTACTGTATTGTCTCATGTTCTGTCCCCCTAGCTATTGTACAGCGCTGAGCAAACCCTTTGGCGCTATATAAATACTGTCAGGAATGGACTTGCCAGTAATGGTGGGACTCACCTGCCTTGTGGGCTGCAGTACCAGGGCTGGCCAGTGGGTGCTCTCAGCAATCAGAGACTCAACCCTGCAGTCAGCCAAACACCTGAAGCTGATTACGGAGGTGTATTTAAGGGATAGCCAGACCTGCAGTCTGTGCCTTGGTGTGTGTTTTTCCATGGGCCCCTGTATCTTGTTACCTGCATTCCTGTTCCTGCCTGACAGACTTGTTGCCGACCCTGCTTGATCCTGACCTCTGCTGACTTCTCCTGTTTGATCCCTGGCTTGTGACCCCGACCATTCTCTGCCTGACCCCCTGTACCTACCTGCCCGTTAGTTGCTGTACCCGGCTCGTGACCTGACTACTCTCTGCCTGCTCCTCCTGTTCCTACCTGCCCGATTGTTATTGACCCGGCCTGCCTGACTACGCTTGCATTGTATGTATTGTTATCTGTGGGTGGTTTGGTTTGGTTCGTTTGCACTTTGTTTATGTTTTAGTATTGCACTGCGTTTTGTATTGTTAGTATTAATAAATTATATTGTTTATAACATATCTGAAGCCTGCATTTCCCTGCGTCAGTTCACATACCTCTGGTCATACCCGGAGCCCTGACATTACACCAAGGCCAATCCTGACCAGAAGTGGCTGCACAGGGAAGCCATCTTGGCTTGTTGCTGGGAAGGATGGATCTTGATGAGGTTGTGTATTTTTCGCTGCTGGTTTTTGATGACAGAGAATATGCTTATCAGACTCTGAGGGAGTATACCCGGGATCAACTGCTAGAATGTATACGGATCGCTCATGTTCTATAGATCAGGGCACAGAGTTCTCTGAGGTGCAACCTTTGATTCAGGTTTGTGTAGAGTTGGCTTCATCTGGTACCCCTGAAAGTAGGAATGACTTTTTGCCACCATTTAGTGCAGACCAGGTAGAGTCCCTGGTATGGTTATTAGAGGATGATGTGGATTGCTTCTTGGAGCATTATGCTGCATGTTCACCACAGGTATTAAGGGATTGTATAAACGCAGTGCAGTCTTTGACCAGACAGGCTTTGTGTAAGCTCAGCTTTGTTCAACCCATACTGCAGACATGGTCAGACTTGTTGCACCCAGCCTCAGTCAGCTTACAACGTCATTCCTCCGCTCAAGGCACTCTTCCTACATCCCCGACAGCACCCCCAGTGACGGCCCAGTATACTCTGCTAACTACCACATACCAGTCCTCTGCTCCCACTCGCTGCACCTATCCTTTCTTTAACCCTGTAAAGAAGTCCTCTGTAGCAACTGCTCCCTCCTCTGTTCCATCTTCCAGCTCTTCTCTGTCCTCAGCTGCTCCATTCGTTTGCAGACCTGCTTTTACTTGCAGTGCTCCAGTAGTTAAAACCAGAAAAAAGCGAAAATTCTTTCCAACCAGTACCATCCTGCCAGTATCCAAACCGGTGAGCCTGCCGTCTGAGAACCTGCCTTTCGTGGTTCAGCCTGGTGCCTCGGCACCCGCACTTCAGCCTGATGTCTGTACCCAGCCTGATGTCTGTACCCAGCCTGATGAACTGATCCAGCCTGATGATCCTATCACGCCTGATGACCCAATGCCCGCTGTCATACCTGGTGACCCGATGCCCGCTGTCGAGCCAGACGATCCAGACGATCCAGTGCCAGATGACCCGGTGCCCGCTGTCGAGCCATGACCTGATGCCTGACCCGATGCCCGCTGTCGAGCCAGACATCCAATGTCTGATGACCCAGTGCCCGCTGTCATGCCAGTTGACCCGGAGCCCACTGTCGTGCCTGGTGACTCCGTGCCCACTGCCTGCCAGATGACCAGTGCCCGCTGGCGAGCCAAATGACCTGATGCCTGCTGTCATACCTGGTGACCCGATGCCCGCTGTCGAGCCAGACAATCCAATGCCTGATGACCCAGTGCCCGCTGTCATGCCTGGTGACCCGATGCCCGCTGTCGAGCCAGACGATCCAGCGCCAGATGACCCGTGCCCGCTGTCGAGCCAAATGACCTGATGCCTGGTGACCCGATGCCCGCTGTCGAGCCAGACAATCCAATGTCTGACCCAGTGCCCGCGGTCATGCCAGTTGACTCGGAGCCCACTGTCGTGCCTGGTGACTCCGTGCCCACTGCCTTGCCAGATGACGCAGTGCCCGCTGGCGAGCCAAATGACCTGATGCCTGCTGTCATACCTGGTGACCCGATGCCCGCTGTTGAGCCAGACAATCCAATGCCTGATGACCCAGTGCCCGCTGTCATGCCTGGTGACCCGATGCCCGCTGTCGAGCCAGACGATCCAATGCCTGATGACCCAGTGCCCGCTGTCATGCCTGGTGACCCGATGCCCGCTGTCGAGCCAGACGATCCAGCGCCAGATGACCCGGTGCCTGCTGTCGAGCCAGACGATCCGGTACCTGATGACCCGGTGCCCGCTGTCGTGCCAATTGACTCAGATCCCACTGTCGTGGCCTGGTGACTCGGTGCCCACTGCCTTGCCAGATGACGTGGTGCCCGCTGTCGAGCCAAGTGACCTGATGCCTGGTGACCCGATGCCCGCTGTCGAGCCAGACGATCCAATGTCTGACCCAGTGCCCGCGGTCATGCCAGTTGACTCGGAACCCACTGTTGTGCCTGGTGACTCGGTGCCACTGCCTTGCCAGATGACGCGGTGCCCGCTGGCGAGCCAAATGACCTGATGCCTGGTGACCCGATGCCCGCTGTCGTGCCTGATGACCCTGTGCCCGCCGCTCTGCCTGGGGGCCCGCCGCCCTGCCTGGGGGCCCGGCGCCTGCCGCTCCTCTGGGGGCCCGGCGCCTGCCGCTCCTCCTGGGGGCCCGGTGCCTGCCGCTCCTCCTGGGGGCCCGGTGCCTGCCGCTCCTCCTGGGGGCCCGGTGCCCGCCGCTCCTCCTGGGGGCCCGGTGCCCGCCGCCCCGCCTGGGGGCCCGCCGCCCCCCACCTGGCGGCCAAGCGCCTGCCACCCCGCCCCGCCTGGGGGCCCTGTGCCTGCCGCTCCACCTGGTGATCCGGTGTCCAGCCCGATGTGCCTCTGTCCAGTGTCCAGCCCGATGTGCCTCTGCCCGGAGTCCAGCCCAATGTGCCTCTGCCCGGAGTCCAGCCCGATGTGCCTCTGCCCGGAGTCCAGCCCAATGTGCCTCTGCCCGGAGTCCAGCCCGATGTGCCTCTGCCCGGAGTCCAGCCCGATGTGCCTCTGCCCGGAGTCCAGCCCTATGTGCCAGTCTTTGATATCCCGCCAGTTACCAGACCCGGGCGGTGGAACATTTTGCCCAGCTAGGACTGTTTGGAGCGTCCTGAGGCCGCTCCTTGAGGGGGGGGGTACTGTCAGGAATGGACTTGCCAGTAATGGTGGGACTCACCTGCCTTGTGGGCTGCAGTACCAGGGCTGGCCAGTGGGTGCTCTCAGCAATCAGAGACTCAACCCTGCAGTCAGTCAAACACCTGAAGCTGATTACGGAGGTGTATTTAAGTAATGGCCAGACCTGCAATCTGTGCCTTGGTGTGTGTTTTTCCATGGGCCCCTGTATCTTGTTACCTGCATTCCTGTTCCTGTTCCTGCCTGACTGACTTGTTGCCGACCCTGCTTGATCCTGACCTCTGCTGACTTCTCCTGTTTGATCCCTGGCTTGTGACCCCGACCATTCTCTGCCTGACCCCCTGTACCTACCTGCCCATTAGTTGCTGTACCCGGCTCGTGACCTGACTACTCTCTGCCTGCTCCTCCTGTTCCTACCTGCCCAATTGTTATTGACCCGGCCTGCCTGACTACGCTTGCATTGTATGTATTGTTATCTGTGGGTGGTTTGGTTTGGTTCGTTTGCACTTTGTTTATGTTTTAGTATTGCACTGCGTTTTGTATTGTTAGTATTAATAAATTATATTGTTTATAACATATCTGCAGCCTGCGTTTCCCTGCGTCAGTTCACATACCTCTGGTCATACCCGGAGCCCTGACAAATACTGTATAATAATAATAATAGTGATCCTGTGCGGAGGTTAGTGAGTTCTTTTGGTATGTTATCAAGTAGAGATTTATGGTTTGTAGAATATAATTGGTCTGTCGTAGCAGTGACTTTGATTCCTAGATAGGGGATATTGTGTTGTTCCCAAGAGAAGGGGAATTGTTTGGCAAGCATTGTTTGGGCCTGGATCGGTGTATGGAGGTTAAGGATGGTGGATTTGGTTTCATTTAGTTTATAGTAGGATACTTCCGCATAGTGTTGGAGATGTGAGTGGATTGTCTGTAGAGATTTGTGTGGGTTAGTTATCATTAGTATAATGTCATCTGCGAATAAGCTGATTTTATGTTCTGTTTTCATATGTGTGATTCCTGTAAATGTGGGGTCATCTCTAAGTATTGATGCTAACGGTTCAATGAGTAGGGTAAATATTATGGGGGATAGCGGAAATCCTGGTCTGGTGCCGTTTGAAATGTTGAATGAGTCTGAGAGTGTGCCATTTGTTAGAACTATAGCTGATGGGTTGGAGTATAGTGAGAGAATAGCTGATAGCATCCATTCTGTGTTCCCAAATTTTTGTAATGTTTGTTGCATAAAGTGCCAATGTATGCGGTCAAATGCTTTTTCTGCATCTACAGATAATAATAAGGAGGATTGTTTGGTGGTTTCTAAATTGTGGATAAGAGATATAAGTCTTCTAGTTGCATCTGGGGCTTGGCGTCCAGGGATAAATCCTACTTGGTCAGGGTGTATTCGGATGGGGAGGTATTCAAGGAGTCTTTGGGCTATTATTTTAGCATAGAGTTTTATATCTGTGTTAAGTAATGAGATAGGCCTATAGTTTTGGACCATTTTAAGGTCTTTACCCGGTTTAGGATAGTGGTGATTATAGATTGTAGCATTTCTTTGGGGAATTCTGATATAGAGGAGGCGTGATTAAATAACTTGGTCAGGTATGGTGAAAGGTCAGGGGCAAAAGTTTTGTAGAATTCTTTGGTGAAACCATCGTTTCCTGGGGATTTATTATGAGGTAAAGTTTTGATGTTTTTTCTATCTCTCAAGGAGATATAGGTTTAGATATAGATGCGAAGGGGTAAGTTGGGGGAGTTTCGCAGCACTTAGAAATTTTTGTATGGAAGCAATTGACGGTTGTGTTGTGTTTAGGTCCGAATTGAGATTATAAAGTTTCTGGTAGTATGTTGCGAATGCATTAGCTATATCTTGCGGGTTTGTAAGAGATGTATGGGTAGTTGGGTGTTGGATTGAGGAGATTTTAGATTTAACCACTTGCCCCAGCCACTGTAG